GCCCACGACAGGAGGAGAGGTTGCCCCTGGCCACTTCTATAGCACTGTACCACTTTCCCGGGTCCAGGCAAGGCTCCTGTCTTGGCTGATGCATATGGGGCTGAGCCCACCTCTATATGTAGCCCCGGATGCTGGCTCAGAGCCAACAGCTTCCAGGGGAGGGGGAGAAGGCTCCACCTCGAGTCATGACCCTCAGGTCCCAAACTGGAGGGACTTTACTACCCCCCGCTCCATCATCCAAACCAGAAACTGACAGAAGTCTTCCTCAAATGGCGTGTGTTGGTGGGGAGGGGTCTCCTTAATATTTGGAAGGGAGTCTTGAGGCTTGTCCCACTGTAATTATGCAACCTCTACCTAGCAAAATAATACATCAAGACAACCTTCTCACTGAGGGTAACACATGTCGAATCTGCTAACACACTGCAGGGCTCCAAACAACAAGAGACCACAGAGGTCCCTGACCCTGTGCTTACGACCTTGAGCTTCAGCCCTTATGGGGTGACTGCAGCACCATCCTTCCAAGGTGGAGACAGTCCCCATAGGAACCAAATAGTCATAGCATAAAACCCATCCTTTAGTTCCCTTTTCCCTACATTTTTTTCAATGAGTGAATGATGGAATTTTGCAGGAATAAGAACTGGAGACATCAGGGGTTTGGAGAGGCTGGGTGGGGGGTGTTTTAAAATTCAAGAGGAAGGAAGACTTTATTATGGGCACCACAGCCAGCTGGGCAGCCCAGGCTGGTGCTGGGGTGGTCATTCTCATCACCTTGCCCACTGGTCCCTCACCTCGCCCTGCCCAGGTGGCTCCAGATATTTCTCCAACTCAGAGTCTCCTCTCCAGCAGACTGCCACTGCCCTCCATGCCTCCACTGGCCCCCTCTCCACAGCCCCCTCCACCACCTTTCCATAGGTAAATCTGCCAATAGCTTCTCAGCGGCTGACACACACACACACACACACACACACACACATACACACACATACACACGTTCTTTCTTCTCTCCCTGCCTTGACTCACACGAAGTCAGTGCCTGGAAGCCTCCCTTCTTCCTTGGTAACCTCCTCCAGCCTTTAGAAGTCGCCGCAGTCACCCCCTCCTCCAGGAAGACATCTCTGGCTCGTCCCTACCCCCACTCCCCCCCCCCCGCCCCAGCTGGGGCAGGGCCCAGGATGCGCCTGTGCATACATATCTCACATTTTTTAATTATCTGGTTAGGTGTCTCCCTGTCCCTTGACTGAGCCTCTCCGATTCCCTCGCGCCCAGCGCACATACTGGCGCACGGCAGGGGTCCTCGGGAACCTCAGATCGCTGCCCAGGCTCTGGGGTCCCAGCCCAGGACAGGTTCCGGAGCGCTCTAGTGCTCGCGGAATCGCCGAGCAGCCCGACGCCAGGCCTGCCAGACCGGCCCAGACCGAGCTTCCCACGTGTCCGGATCCGGAAAGGCTAAGCTGTCTCCCCGAAATCTTGAGTGTGCCACGTGGAGCTCAGTCCGTCCGGGGCTTTGCGGGGCCCCACAACAGCTTAACGTTATATTTGGTGGCCGGCCGGAGGCATGCACCCGGCTGCAGAGGCAGCCCCTCTCGGCTCTAGTCGCGAAGAGCCGGCTCTCCACCCGGGCTCACGCGTGGAGGCTCCGTGCAGGGTCGGAGTCTGAGCCCGCCGGCTGCTTGGAAGGCTCCTCACGTCCAGGCGCCGCGGTCACGGCTGCGCTGGTTTCCGGCCATGAATTAGACTTCAGAGTCCGAGACTCCAGCCTGACTCCTGGCTGAGCGCGCGGTCGGCTGGGCGGGGGATGGGCGCCCGCGGAGGTCCGCGCCGCGGCCAGGGTTCGAACCCGGACCGGAATTTGCTCCACGAGGGTTGGACGCGGCCCGCCCTTTGGGCTCCCCCTGTATCCCTGGGCATGGCTCAGCGTCCCGCCCCCGGCTCTGTGAGGCGATCTCGGTCCGGGGCGGGGGGCATGAACCGAGACTATCGGCGGCTGAGGTCGGTGTGTGCCGGTGCCAGGGCGCTCCGGGACTCCCCAAGGTAGTAGGTGGCCGTCCCTCCTCCATCTTAACGCCCCCGACGAACAGGGCTCCGGGGTCGCCAAGTCTCCGTGCCGTAGCCCCGGCCGGTCCCCATTGCCGTGCGGGCCCCCGAGCGTCCCACCGGCCGGGAGCGCGGAGCGCCCAGCGCCCCCTCCGAGCCGCAAGCTGGCGAGCGCCGCGCCGCGAAGCTGAGGCTCTGCAGTCACGTGGTCGAGAGGAAGGCGGAGGGGAGGGAGGCAGGCAGGCTGGG